GACGAAAATTTCATGGCTCGCTTAATTTTCCGGACTGTTTCGTACAGTTATTTTGTTCGATACAGTCGCTACTCACAAGCCGTTAAATTTAGCAAAAACGATTCATTCACTAATAAATAAATATGCTCCAGGGGGGCTTTTGCGCAAACAAGCCTTACATGTTCATTGTTGCAGTGAAGTGCGGCTGCCGCAAAAACGCGTTTTCTGGTATGACAAGTATGGCCAAATTAAAAAAAATGCTAATGTAAAAAATTTCTCAAGCCTTCCATTAATTAAAGCGCTCTCAAAGCGACCTATGCCGGAAAACTGTAATGTTCCGATTCTCCCTTCATGCAGCGAACTGTAAACACAATGTGAACAATGCAACGAGTCCAAAAAAAAAAAAAAAAAAGAAAAAACCAAATAATATTAATTTCTAGTTGCATTTAGCGCGAGGTACGTGTCACAGTGAAATCCATTGGAAAAAGTAATTATACGAACGACTCAAAAAGAAATTATGAATGTGCAAATAAAGCAAGGCAGGACCGGTACATGGCTGCATGACGCAAACATTGTACCCATTTTCCGAACAATCTCGATGATAATGTAAAGAGAAAAATTAATTAAAATTCTAGCAAATGTCGACTTCCGGTACAGTCTTCCTTCGGGTCACCCGTGTAGTTCAGCAAAATTAATTTCTTTTTCCCATTTAAATTTTCAATCAATCTCAAAGGCGAAAAAACAGTTGTAAAAAAAAAAGAACCAGTTTGCTTGCACTTTACAGCAAATACCACTGGTTCATTTGTACACCATATGAAATTTATGATTTCTAAGAATTTTCTGGGCTAACGACGATTACCGGTTCACATTAAAGGCAAATTCATTCAAGCAGAGAGACCAATAAACTTCGAGGGAAATGAAACCTAGCGAGGTCAATAATTCAAACATCACTGTAAGCTCTTACTAAAAAACTAAGGAAAGCAGCAAGCCTGAGAGCTGAAAATACACTTCCCCCCTCCTCCCC